AATTATGAACTTCGCTTTTTCATGGATATGGGATTTTCTAATTTAAAATAGCTGATATTTTAAATATTTTAAATTTTCATCACGAATGAAATTTCAGTTCGTTGCAATTAATCCAGAAGTGTAAGTGTTGACGGAATTCCATGGAACACGAATTGTGCCGCAAACAGATTAAAAACGTGCCCCTTTCCAGCGAATTTCTCGTGGAAAGTAATTGCCTACGGGGTGGCACGAGAAGCAGGCGGAAATGGGACGTTCACCGTAAGCGTGTTCCGGTTTTTCGGCTCTGTAAGACGAGCCAGGGCTACCGTCTGCTCAGGTTACCTGGCTTCGACCTCCTAACCTCGTCGAGATAATGAAACCCGGCGGAAGACGTTGCACCGGTGGCTTTAATTCCATCAGTACACCGTCTTCCCGGGGCAATTCCAATTTGCCCTGCCTTTAAACCCCGACACGCGCCACGCAACGCTTCTACAAGCTTTAAACAACTTGCCGTGTTCCGAGACAATTTTTACAGGGCTCTATACGACCCGTCGATTATCTCGAACGGATATTTACATCTATGTTTTTGACGTGTTTGATTAAAGAAGAAGAATAACGAGTTTCTGCGAAACGATGAAAAAGGAAAATTTTACATCGTTTAATATAAAAAATTGAAAGTCATTTTGAATGTTGAATATCATAAACGATGCAATTTGTTAAGCATGACACGACCGGAAATGAAAGTAAAGTTACTGTAAATAAGGAAATATCAAGCTGCCGACGGGGCGGTTTGGTTTAAAACAAATAGCTAATAAAATCGTGAACGTATCGTTGAAACTACCATGATCCTGACCTCTCAAAATCGACCCCATCCCGTGCTCCGACTCGATAAAAAGCTCGAACATTCTATTGACCCAGTAACCTTCTTGGGACCACTCTAGAGAGCTATTCCGTTATGGCCGGAAGAGCTCCCCAGGGATAAGGAAAAGTCATTCTATTAAAGCTAGAACGGGAACAAAAGGATCGTTAGTAGAATAGTGTAAAGATAGAGGACATTACAATCTCCAGAAGTCACTCACCGTACAGTTATCGATAGAACCATATTCTGAATTCTAACTGGCTTTCTATCTACTTCTAAATTTGGTTGTCTGACTTATTATACAGTATTCTACTTATTCTGTGGTTCTAAATTTACCGATTTGAATGAAACTCATAGAACGTGTAAAACTATCTAAGGTACGAATAATGATGTATTCCATTTTTTCCTAATCATCCTTGAACTAGGCGAACACGTTACAGTAAGTAGTATAAGTCAGTATATGGTCAGACGTAGACATTCTGTGCTAGCGCAGCGGTATAAGTAGTATAAGTCGGTAGATATTCAAACCGCCAGTACATTTATATACAGAATGTTATAATAAAGACACTAATCTTTGAAAATTAATAAAATTCAGATACAATTGTTAATTTATATACGAATAATAATATCATAAAAATTTTTGTGCAACAAGTTTTCAAAACGCTTGCCTTTGCTTGAAAAACTTGAATCCATGTATTATAATTGAATCTACTGTAGAAACGAGCGTCAATTAATCATACTAAATTGAATAAACAATTACTGAATAATTGAATAATCAAGAAAATATACAAGGAAATCCGTAATACGTACAATTGGTACTCTAATACGATGCCACGTGTACCAAGAGCGATTCATCCAAGTCACCGGATATATGGGTTCTCTTCAGAACGATCCTCCCTCCTTCGAGCATGGATATCAATTTTATGTGTCGGTGGGACGATATCGGGCCCGCCGCTACCACCCCGTCCCTCGACGCTTGTTTATGGCTGTATTAATTATTCCTATCGCGTATACGCCGACCTGCTGGCTTGTATTCCCGTACGTTGCTGCAGTTGCAGTCGCAGTCGCAGTTGCAGTTGCAGTTGTAATGCATCCGCGGTCGGTCGTTCCAAACCGTCCGATATAACCTGGTCGTCCGCCTCGCCCTCGGCACCGCGCCGCATCGTGCTCGCAACGATTTAAGGGGCGAGTTCCATTTGCCTGCCGTTTACAACCCCCTGTACCGCTTACAGCTGTCTACCCTCTATACACCCTTTGCTGTATTAAGTCAGCGTCGCAGCCGTACGTGCCAATTGGATGGACGATTGATTCGTGTGCATAGAGCATGTTCTAAATCCCTTTTGATCTTGATACAGTTCACTTGGACATTGATTGGTGACCGGTTGTAATAACAATTGAAAGAAAGAATTTGATATTAATATCTATTGTGGAAGCGTGGAAAAAATTTATTACTTAAGTATTTAGAATTTATTTTTTTCCATTTTTAATTCATGAGTGGAAGTTGTTTTAAAATATTCATCTAGGATGCACTCGTATTTAGTTATTCTCGGATCCGGCAGCTGTAAAACTTGATTTCCGTAGTCGATTCTAGGATCCTGAAGTTGTTGGAATCTATTTTCGAACGGGAGCAGTCGTTATTGGATCCCCTGACCCTGGATGCAACGGTATTGGTTTCCACGACCCGAGTAGCTCGATATTGGATCCCCTGACCTCGTGGACAACCCTGTCTAGTAAACCCTGTGTTATTGATATCGAGTCTCACATCGGTCAAGTCTTTGATGATCATTTAGTCAATTGACAAGTCCTTCCGATAACAGCTCTGTAATTATTCTCAATTATCAAATTCTCATTCTCTTTTTATGTATCAGTTAAAAGAAGAACGACACTTTTGATTCAGCATTTTCATGCTATTCTAAAATGAAATTCTTTTTTCCTCAACTACCGAGATACGAGAGCAGCTTTGTCATCGATGGTCGAACACGATACACAATCCTTATACGGATGAAACGGCACGAAATTCTCTCGCCGTCTCCTCCAGTCGTGTCGCAGACGCGGGAATCACGTCGTCGAGTTTCATGGAAACGGCACGAATCCATTTAATATATCTGCCGAGACGCCTGCAACACGCGAGAAACGTTCGACGCGTGCGAAAAATCTTGGCGAAAATCGACTTTCGACAGGCAACCGTATCAGTTTGCGGGACTACCTCCGCGATTTCATAGCTACTGAAATGCGATGAAAGAACGTTCAAAATTCTGAAAATACGGTGACAAGCTGATCAGTAATAAAAGCTGCGTAAAATATTCTTTTTACTTGTCAATTATTATGAAGTATCTTCTTAAATCTCTTTCTCGAAGTTTATGTAAACGTCGTCCTAAGTCCACAAAATATAAATTCAAAGTAACTGCGATTGATTGATGAGTTCGAAGGTCTTCCAGAAATTGATTGACATATTAATCGAGATAGAGGAGATTGACTCTTCAAATCAGCAAGCGAAATATCAATATCAAGGTTCGTCTTCTTCCGTGAAGGAACCCAGAGTAACGAACCCTGTCCATTAACGCTATCAAACCACAAATCTCGTTAAATATCGTACAGTAGGATCTCTCTTTCTCGTATTGAATCAACAATACGAAAATGTTTGATGTAAGATCAAAGCAGCAGGGATATTCACGTATCTCGTTACTAACCCTTCGTTCACAAAATAATATACTATCTCCGGCAGGATTTCTCTGACGGGAAACGTCAGAAGGATCAAATTGCAGGTTTCGTATTTTTCAGATCGAATAACAGATATACCCGGTTAGAAATTCTAATCCGAATGCAAAACGTGAAGGTAACCGAAACTTGGAGTGAAAACGTTTGAGTCGAGTGAGTCATGAAAATATTCGTGAATTAAACGTGGAAGTGTTTCAAGAATTATTATACATTCCGGAGCGGTTTTTTGAAATTTTTATAATGTAAAAAATTATTAAAGAAATAGGACACATTAGATATAATTAGTATTTCGTCACATTTCTTGTGGAAATATATCATGTATATTCAATTAGTATTTAAGAAATTCGACAGAGGTTATTCGACACAGTGTATAGGAGATTTCCGGTTCGTTTTACCGACAGATTCGTCGTTCGTGGTCCGATTCTCGAGCTCGACGTTCATATTTCAGTCGAAACCGACTGGTTATCCTTCGAGAAGCAACGACGTGGCAACCTGTTCCCCCGGGAAATCGATCGATGGACAAACGAACGGCGCTCGCCGCTTTCTATACAGATTTAACGTCGGGTATTTACATTTAGAAGAGCTGTTCTTTGCTAATCGGATCTGGAAAATGGTACTCGCTGGCGGGATTCGGGGTTGCCTCGAAACAACGATCACCAGTTAACCATCGACTTTAAACCTCTATGCACTTGTTTTGCTTTTGGATAAAATATTGAATTTTTATTCCGGATTCAAAATTTTTTCATTTTTCATTTACATTTAATATTTAGAAGGATAATCAAAAGTTAGAAAAATGAAAATGAAGAACAGTCTAAAATTTTATTTATATTTTTGTAACAGTATGTTTTCTGTCCCGTTAAGATCATTCGAGCTATCATTTTATTTCAGAACGATTGAAAATTGGCAGCTGCTGTGATTTGACGATTTATTTCAGAGAAAATGGACTGACACGAGCAGGATACGTTTATAACGATATAATAGTAATGCATAGATTTTTTAGCTATGCCGGTAACGTAATTATGATTGATTGACAGAAAATGGACATTTTAAACTGATACTATCCCAGAATTTCATACGAAAAATACTGTTATAAATTCGTATCGGTTTGGTTTCAAAAATTGATCTTCTGTCCGATTTCTATATAAAGATATAAACCGAATGAAATATTGACGATTAATGCCATTTCAACATGAAATCTTAAAATAGCAAATAATATATAATGAAAAATAGTCACAAAGAGATACGAATAAATGTTTCGTATCTGTTAATTAAGTTGATCTATTTTAGAAGATGACAATCTAAAAAGTCACAATCAAAGTGACGAACGTGTGACACTATCTGTCAAGAATAAATATATCTTGATCCATTATTGAATAAATATTTTTACCGAATATCTATGTTCGTTATATTCGCTAACCAGACCAATGGTTTGATTTTGTTGCAGCTTTTGGCGGGCAATAATAATCCATACTCGGAGAAGGAACAAGTTTTTGACCCGGCCATCGTGGCTACGAAGATCCGTTTCATCCCTTACACTTCCCACATGCGTATGGTGTGCATAAGGGTGGAGCTTTATGGATGCCCATGGACCGGTGAGTGAAATTTATAGTCACACTTTCCGCTTTCCGTATCTCACGATGCTCTCACTTCTTATTTCGCGACAATGCATCCGTCGCGCTAAGTATTGAAAAGAACGAAGTCGTAGTTCCAACGGTTTCAAGCATTCTTATCACGCTGTCACTGTTTTCCATTTTATCGGATCGGAGAGCTTCTTACGCCGCCGGAGGAAACGTGCGATCGAGATCATATTTCTCTCTGTATTACAGCCTGCATTTTGAATATTCTCGATCGAGACAAGAATACCTTCAGCTTGTCGTATCTTGAATGTTTCAACGAAATAAAGCGTTGGTTAAAAGGAGAACTTAAATGGTGTAAAAATATCTTTGTGGTATTCTATGCAGTAAAGGCATAAAACAGATATATTTTTTACTTTGAACGATGAAACAATTCCATGTATTTTAACCAAGAATCGAGTTAATCAGTTAATTTGCTATTTGATTAAACATCCCAGCAACCTCATCGGTTTAAAGTCCGCGTCAGCGTAGATTTACGAGCACGATCGAAATACGATGTACAGGTGTGTTTGCCTTAATCTCACCTCGAAAGGGTTCGCCGAGGCTTCGAGTATCCTTGTTGTTGGTACCATAAGTATGGATACACCGGTGAACAGGGTGTATCGATACTGCTCCATGATCGTTACACCCCTCGTAAGAAATATTTACACCGACGATGTTTGTTTTTCATTATTGAATAGCCCGTTTCCTCGTATCGTATCTGATCCACGTTGTCATTGAACGACAGCAAAAGCTTTCGTCTTTCTTGCAAATTTTTCTTTCATTTTCTATTAGTGCCATTACTTCTTATTTTTTAACTGGGTTGAAATAACCCTTCATTCGTCATGCTAAAGTTAATAAAATTTAGAAATGGTATTGGTTCACTTGTTTTTTATTAATTTTTACTAATCTAATTTATAGAAAGAATAGTCTGATTATTTTATAATCAGATTATTTATTTTTCGTATTCCGTATAGCGATTGCAGTTGAAATGACTGCAATTGCACGATGCATGCGACGGTAGTCGGGCTGCATACATATTTCTTGCCAAGTTTTGTTTTTTATCCATTTTAGCCTAACCCAACGTGGCGAGGGAATATACACCATGATAAATATAAATACGGTGTTTTTGCGCCGTTTAAAATTTATCGTTTTGAAGCGTTATCGGGAGAGAAAGGCAATAGGGGATGGTGAATCGGTTTCGTTCTGGAACGCGACCGGAAACGGAAGGGGTACGCCGTTTTTGCCTCGACGTTCGTGCAAACTACGAATTTAATGGTATCGAGCATTTAATCTCGTCCGCAATATTCGGAGAATAAATTCGATATTCGTTGTTCGACGAAGCATTAAGGAGGTGTATTTTTCACGAGGAAAAGCGTCGATGCTTGTATCGCGTCCGTTCTCATCGACGTCTGTCAATTTCCTCGTGGCGATACTTCCTGTCTCGACATAAATCATTTTTCCGTGTGTCGGTACACAGGAAACGGGCAGACTTTCATCGAATATCATTTTGACGTAGATGAAGATGCAGAAGAATTAAATTACCCCACGTTTCCGGGAAAATTTTATTCTTGAGCAAAGGACGACGACCTTCCAGTTGCCAGATCTTCTTCAACCCCTATTATGGTTTACAGATATAACATACAGAAAGTATATATATATATATAAAAAGGATCGAGTGGTTAAAATAGAACGGATTTGAAATATAATATCAAACTTATCTGCAAACTTCTAAAAATATTCATTTATTTTCAAAAACATTTTCCTATAAAAATTTCAAGTCCTCGTTTTACACTTGCCAGTGACTAATCTAATTATTACTAATACCTCGTGCATCGCGGAAGAAAATCATTTGAATAAAACATTCGCAGCCAAGCATCGAATAATCCAGATAATAGCACGCTATGATGAAAGATTAAAACGGTGCAGCTCGGTTTGAAAAATACATGATTTAACCGGCGCAATCTTATCACGTATAGCAGAGAATGAAACGTCCATCTAGCCTCCGCGTGCTGGCACGATGATGCATAGTTGAAGAGGAAATGTGTACGTTTGTACGATCGCAAAACTGCAACTCTTTTCGTTTCTGTGTGTTGCAGAGGGCCTGGTGTCGTACTCGATGCCCCAAGGAATTAAAAGGGGCTCGGAGGTTGACCTTTCCGACAGGACGTACGACGGTAAGGAAGAAGGAGGTTACCTCTCCGGAGGACTCGGTCAACTTGTCGACGGGCAAAAGGGTCCTGACAACTTCAGATTGGACGTGAGCGGTAACGGGAAAGGTGAGCTGTTGCTTCGTGCCGAAACGAAATTAGCGTTGCTGCTCGATCGCGTCTAGATTAGCATGATAGAGACGTGTCGAAGTTAAGCCTAGATTTCATTAGAACAAGTAGCAAAGTATATTAATCAGGGCTTGGAACTGGTTATGATATTAATTTCAGTTTAACTAAAAAGAAATCTTTGGTCGTTCACTGATTATTTCGTTCCGCCCTTTTTTCCTCTTCTATTGAGGAATTTCCGTTTCTTGAGAATTCGATTTGATGGGTTGAGCTAATCTATAAGAAAGTAGAAAACTGGTTTGAATTAACGAAGGGAGGACACTGAAAGGTAACCCGTTCGATTGGTATCGTTTACCTTTTTTCCTCGGCAAATGGGAATTCTTATTGAAGAGACTCGGTGAATGTTATTAAATCTCAATTGTAGATTCGTGGTTTCGTTTCATTGACGGAATTTAATTTGCCAGACACCTATCGAATTGCATACGTATTATTGGAAAAGGAATATCGAGAAACTTGAAACTCTATTACCATTCCTTCGATTGAAATAAAAATTACTTACTGCGGATCGGTGAAGTCTCTTAAATAATTAAAATCACAAAAACAGAGTCAAATAATTGTTGAATGTTGAATTTCCATTTAGAATCAATCCGATAGAGCACAAGGGTTTATAGGAAGATCGAGAGTTATTTAAAGGAATGAACGATTGGAAGATTTTTAACGACTGGTCAAGAACTAATTCTGATTGGCGTATAGCGAAAATATAAAGTATCGTCCGCGTCGATTCCAGGTGTGTAGGTCAGTGATAAGAGAATTCCAGAAAGCTAGCTAGATGCTCGGACTCCCGTAGGCGAATCGTGTTCCCCGGCGTTCTCGAATCTGTTCCAATTTACATTTATATTGAACCGCAGGCTAGAGTGCAAGCCACACTGCTGTTTACCGGCTCCCAGGATACATTTGTGTCTTTCTATTTACGCCCCGGGACAACTTGCAACTATGTACATTCAGCTTCTTAAACTTTTAAACCCATCGAGACTGCATGAAGTCCTTCTATCTATTTCTTCCTTGATTCTCTTTACAATCATGTCGAAGCCCCTCGAATCGAATCATTTTTCCTCATAAAGTAACGTTGTACCGAAACGATCTGGTCTAATTCATCGTTACATCAGAATTGGTGTGTACTCAACCATTAATGGATTCCATTCTACGCAAGAACACCGGCCAAGTAAAGCAACGCAGAGTAATTAGAACGTCTTCGGGAAACGGCATTGAGTCGCTATGATTCTATGAACAAGTGGGTCATCAGGTAATAACGTGCAAATTGCTGGCAGATGAGCCAAGGTATAAGGACGTTACTGATTCCAATATCGCCACAAAGTTCGCGGTATTTGCAAAGTTTCCATCTCGACGAAATACTTCGCTAGCTCTCTTGTTAATAAGTTTTCTCGTCGGATTGTTTGTAAAAGTAATTACGAGGCTGCCTCCTTGATATGTTATCGACTCTTCGTTATGAAGTTAGAGATGATCAAGAATATACCTGGTAATTATTGTATCACGTTTATTCATACTTCGCGTGGTCAGGAATTACGTGGGCGTTCCGGAAGTTTCATCGGACTTCCAATAGTATATCTACTTCAGTTATTGTACGCCTCAGCTTGCACGGCTGAACGCTAATTTTAACCCGTCATCATTTTATAATTACCATATGTTCGTATAATTTGAAATTTCTTTAAGTAAGAAATTCGTGATGGCGCGGTATAGTTAGAGGCACTCGTGTATCTAGATGGAAGGGCGGTTATCTTACGACCCCTCTGAATGTTCGAAATTGATGGTAGATAGGGTACGAAGGCGGCGACGACAGGAAACTGGAAACTATTTACTCGAGGGACGATATTAAGGCTGGGGTTTATATGAAAGCGGATAGATCAAGCGATATAATGCCACTATGTATGGTTCGCGAACATTGTTGGAAAAGAGGCGATCCGAAGGAAATGCTAGGAAAAGGTTTGATCGTGAACAGATATAGAATCGAAGCGCGTCGAGCTTTTAATAACCTTTAAGGTATAGAGTGTCGTCTGTTGGAACGGGTACGATCACGTCGAAACAGAGCCACCCTCGACACCCTCGTTTTTCTTTCGCTCAAACCCTGGCTTGTTTCACCCCTTCCCTAGAGAGTTCGTCGAGAAGGAAAGATAAAAGTGTGCTGCTGGATTTATAGCGTGAAGAACAGATCTCTGCGAGGCGGTGGAGCACGGTGTATCAAGTTCCTTTCGTTCTTACCAGAAGACATTAGGGGCGGGTGGGAAAAATTGAAATGTAAATAGGAGGATCACTGGGGTACCGCGATTCCTCTTCCTTGTGCAGTTAAATCACTGTGCAAAGGTTAAGGAAACTGTGTCAACTTAATTGATGTACTTTGCAGATTTGTTTTCCTGAAGAATTACTCCGCGGAACTTTTACAGTGAGTTAAAAAAGTATTCTAACGATGAAATATTGCAATGAAACTTGTAAAATAAGTGTCGCTGAAATTTTTATTCGTCACGGAATTGATTGTTTAAATATTCAAACAACTGCTAGGAATAGAATTGAATATTCAGCCTCTTTTTTTCGAGCGGTGGTTGAAAACTTCTTTCGAGTTTATTCCAGAAATGGGTAGCGCTGGCAGAATTTTCGATTTCGAGGCCGCCAGCGAAAGTTCGGGCGGAAAACCACAGGCAGCGTCCGATTAAAGGCGAAAATTCGAAGGGAACCGCGAAAAGTAAGCGAGAGCAGGGTTCGGAAAAACGCGTAACAGGCGCAACGTTGGCTTTAGGGCTATTGCAGTCCATTTTCAATCCCCGTATTCCCACCGGAACACCGCGTGTGTGCGCGAACCACCGTGTGTATACTCGTACACGAACCCTCGCATCGCGAAATCTAATGGCGCGATTCGTGCAATAACTGCTGTTGTGGCCCCGAAACTCTTCCATTTCGTGGAACAGCGTTTCGTTGCTCTTGCGGCGTGTTATCCACCGACACATTCGAAAGGGAAACCGGATGTACACATATATCCCGGAAAATAAATGCGCGAGAGAGGGTGAACATATCGTAAGTTGGTTACCGAAAGTTAATTCGAAGCGTAACTAATCTTTCAACGATGCTCACAACCACGATCGATAACGTCCAGGATCCGACTAAGAGAGTAATCCCTTGGAAATCAGCAATGCAGGACCAACGGCTGTATAATTTAGAGGCTGTTTTCAGTTCGATGCCTCGTTACATCGCGTTGAATTCTGAAACGGAGATCTGGCTTTCAGCGAGCCACGATGATTGATCGTTGAATGAGAAATGCAATGTACATTCTCGTTCATAAGTCACAACTAGAATCGGGCATTATTCGAATAGAAATCAGAAATAAAGTATAGTTATTCGAGAATTTGACAAATTTACCATAAATGAACGAATTTCCAGTTGAGTGTTATTAATAAATTCAATTCAATTTCTCAAATAACGAAATGAAAGGAAAATATTACCTCGCACCTGTCACGAAATGTCCTATATTTGCATTATAAAAAAAGTGATCATCGAAGCTGAAGAAAAGTAATCGTAGGCGCGAAAGATTCCTACAGGGAATATAAGAACGGTGACGAGCTCATCTTTTCTTTCGTTCGCAGAAAAGACCACAGATTCAATGCAGTCACAGATTGCGCGGAACGCCTGCTATTTTCCATTCAGCCTGACAATTAATTAAGGCAACATTCAAAAAGCAGCAGCTGCTGTCGTTCGAGTGAAAATAGGTTGGCCGGGTAGTTGGGAGCGAGCCTTTCAACAGTATATCCAGCAGTTTGCAACAAATGCGTTCCGCGTTGAAACAATTTGTTCATTTGATAGGAACGACCGTTCAGGCTGGTCGCAAACAAATTTCCCGTCACGTCCGCGATTCGTGGATTATTTATGTTACAGATTTTATTGTCTCGTTTGTCGGAGCGTGGTGTCGATCGGGTAATCGGATCCAACGATGCGACGTGTCATTTTTCAGACAGGCTAGCCTGCGAATGGAATTATTCTCGTTTCGTTGTTCCGTTCATATTGTTAAAGCACACACGGGGAAAAAAAGAGAGCGAAGAGAGACGAGAGTACGGATAGGGAAACATTGAACTGTTCGATCGTACGGGACAGATCGCGAATGTTGTTAAACTCGAATTAGCTGCGGATTCGATTTTTATCGAATGCAATGCCAGCTGTCGAACGACGTAATAGTTTTTTCAAATGAATTCAAAAAATTTCTCTCTGATTTTTTAGTCTTTTCGGTAATGGAAACGTAACCCGATACGGATAGAGGCTTTTAAAAGGAATATTGTTAGCTAAATTTATTACAACGGTAAATGTACGTGTATCCGTGGAAAGATTAATTTTCTAGAATCTTTTGCAGCCTTTTGTTATAGGAAATATAATTGAAAAGTGGTGGATATTTGAATTATGTAGGTACAATAAGCGTTAAAAATTTGCAATCGCTTCCTGAATTTTACAAAACTCTTGAAAATTTTTTAAACAGTAATATTTATTTTTCTTTTTGTTTATTTTAGGTTACGAATGGGTCGGCTGGAGAAACGACACACCCAGCATGCTAGGACGTCCTGTGGAAATCACGTTCGAGTTTGATTACTCAAGAAATTTCACTGCCATTCACTTGCATATGAACAATTTCTTCACAAAGGATGTGCAGGTAAACAGAATCGATTTTTTCTCATTTCAGGAATGAAATTTCTTGAAAGTCGTATTTATAAAATATGTACTTTAAAAGTGTATAAAACCACTCGGGAATACACATCCAGTTGAGACTTAAAGTCTAAGATATCGTAGAAATATTTCCTCGATTCTTTCTTGGGTATTTTCTTACGTAATCTGGAAATCCAGTAGCTGGCATGAATCGCGTAAAATGATATTCAAATACGCTTCCTTGGAGATTATTCGAATTAATATTCCCATTATATTCGCTGAACACGGAGATTGATGTTTGCTTAATCTATATAAACTGACTGTGAAATCCGTGAATTCGTTATTATTCATTCAAGTACGCGGCAAACTGATAGCAAGAAGAAAAAACGAGATTATTTTCTGAAAATTCTTTAATATGAATAGCTGTTATCTTAATTAACTTATTTCCTGGATAGATTTAAAATCAGAAATTTTAAGTATATAATTTTGATTATTTTCTTAATGATTCGATTATATGAAATTAGAGACGATCAATCTGTTAAAAATCCTACAAAAAATTCAACACGTTTCGTTAGGTGGGAGAAACGGATGTAATGGACAGACGAGGAATTAAATTCACCTAGGGTAGAATTACCCCGAGTGGCCGATACTTATTACCCAATTTCGCGTACACACGCGAGCCACCGATACTCGAGCGGAAAAGCAGAAAAGGGAAAAAGAAAAATGTAGACGGAACAGATGAAACGTTTCCATCAAGTTCAATGATTTTCTTTCTGTTTACACGTCCTGTAATCGCTTCATCCTAGTCGTACACAAGCACCTACTAACACACATACACTATTTCTTTCCAGGTCTTTTCTTACGCGAAAGTCTATCTCGGAGCCGGTGCAAACCAATTCAATGGCGAACCTGTTCATTTCTCCTACATACCGGATCTGGTGCTGGAACAGGCGCGTGACGTTACCATAAAGCTTCATTCACGTGCTGGCCGCTTTCTGAAGCTCCAGCTGTATTTTGCCGCACGTTGGATCATGCTCAGCGAGGTAATCTTCGAATCAGGTGAGAGATATTTGGGATTTATAATATAATTTAGGTGTTACTTTATTATTAGCAATTTCACTACTGTCGTTTTAACACGTTGAATGCCATATCACCCATATCTGAGTGACACTTGAATTATCAAAGGAAGCCATTATCTATATTATTAGGAATTTGATTACTTATCTAATTAGAAATATTTTTATTAGGTATTTGAAACAGCGGATAATGAAAATAACAAAATATTCGGAAAATAATAAATAAAATTTTTAAAAATATAAATATTATCTAATGAAATTTTTAATAGTGTTTGCCTGGCAGTCAACGTGTTAATTATTGACCCGTACTACTTGTATAAATAAAAATTTTATTTTATTACCTTTGTATTATAAGAAAATAAGTTGACGTCTCGCAATGTTCGATCTCTTTCCCCGTAATTTATTTCAAACATATATTATTCGAAAAAAAGTATCGCAAGACATTTTTCTTCCAACAAAAAGCTGTCTTTCGGCTCCCTCCGAAAGGCTACCGCCGCGTCTCGCGTAAAAAGGAAGAAAAACGTGCCTGGGAGAAATATACGAAGGTTGCGGGGAAACAAAAGGGATCTCAGGAACCGTGATACCGTGATATCGATAACGAAATAGCTTCTCCGGAATATCTTCGGGCTGGTGCTAGGTATATCTCGACGCCAACGATCTCGAACTTTGGATCAAGGAAAGAATGAACCTCCGAGTCCTCCTCTCTCTTACGTGTTCTCGTGAACTCGATTTCCAATTTTAGCTGACACGCTCGCCGTTTCGCAGTTCGCCAACGATAGAATTATCGGAGAAGATGAGGAATAATCGGACGGGCTGTGCACCGGTGATGATACGTCAGAACGTATTCGCTTTGAAGAGACAATGAATTCTCAGACGCGGAGAGTGCGATAGAATTCTCGTTCCCGTCAATTGTGAACGGGTAATCTTGGAAATAACGAGCTTCGTGTCGGCCAGCGATCGTTCTATTCAATTTTCATGATTCTGCCATTAGCATTTTTTTAAACCGTTAGAATAGAAAGAAAGAGATTTTTGATCGAACGGTTACTAATTTTTGTAGCTTCTTAAAATTAAAAATTTTAAATGTCAATCGTTAAAAAATGATATACTTTTATTATAAAATATTCAAAGACAGTTGGTTCGAAGAAAGACACTAGATGTCCTTAACACGTTGGCGCGAACCAAAGCACGTGGTGGCGATTCAGAAACGAAACTTACCTTGCTGTCAGGTGAAATACGCGCCCTCGAAAAGTTTTTCCTGCGAAGCTAACACGAACGTCGAAAGGATCGTTAATCATTCTCTGAGAGTGCGGCGTTGGTGTTCTCTCGTTCCGTGAGAGATAACTTCGATTGCTTGGCCCCCGTCGAAGTGGCCAGAATTCCACGTGATTCCCATGGACGTGAAGCGAATCGCTTTTCAGATTTCTATTTGATTCCTCGCTTCGTCGGGGCATCGATCTCTCCTCTTCTTTGTTGCCTTGATCGAACGGAACCTGAAAGCTTTTAAGGGCTGACTGTTAAGAGGCAGATTTAATGAAGGTTAATCGATAGAAAGTTGTTTCTGATAAGAAGTTCGTACACTTTGCGTAAAGAAGTTTTAATTCTTTGAGTCAACAAAACCCGTTAGCAAATTAAAAAGACTGATCACGCATTTGTACGTTCGGCTCGTTTGAAATAGACAGACTTTCTTCTCGTTCAATTCTTTTGATGGACGAGAATTTCATTAGTCTTCATCCCTGATGCGCAGTGATCTCGGAATGGAACAACACCGAGGATGAAGAGGCGAGGAACAAGAGCGCCATTGTATCAGCTACCGGCAGTCCCTATCAGAATAACGAGGGTCCGCTACAGAGGGATGAAGTGAAGGCCACTTTTAATAAGGAGGAAAACAACGATAATGCCCGTAAGTCTGACCGCTTTTCACTATTGTTGCATCGACCATTTCCCAGTGTAATTTTCCGTATCACTTCGATTCCTCGCTTCATTCGCTTCAGTTTTCTTGTTTTTTTCAAAGCTCTTAGAAGCTACAAGAAAATTGAATACCGATCTCCAACCACCTTTTCCTTCCTCGTTCCTTTTATTGTTGCTGCTGTTCGCGTTTGCAGCAAATCATTAATAAGGTTCATTAATCGGTAGGTGATTTTCAAAAGAACCTGATTTGCACCTTTTATTCCAGTCAATTTTAATAATACTTTGCTTCGAGGCTTTTGTTGCTCCAATTCTGTGAAAATAAAATACGTTCTTTTAAAGCTTATAAATGAATTTTATAAACTACAGTTCGTAATATCTTCTCGTGCAGTGGATAAAAAAATATAGAAATAAAAGCTCCGAGGATTTTCCTACTTGATTTTCGCGAAACAGGTGGAAAAGCGCGTCGAAATAAAAACTAAAGGCCTTCTCTATTCGTTCGCTCGAATACAACGCGCATCCAACGTTCGTTACAATTCAGCCTTTCTCGCGATGAAACCAATATTCTGCTGTTCCTTGTGTAACGATCTTCGACTTTGTAAAGGAGCGAGCAAGGTACGTTGCGAAGCGGAACGTGTTCGTTTTTCCTTCTCTTGCCGTTGAAGTTTCATAGCAAGCTCAAGTGAGCCGCGAAGCTGTTGGAAGTTACGCGAAAATATCTTTCGAGAGGCGAGAAATCGCGATGAAACCGACTATTGTTTCAGCGAAAAACGTTTACTTTTGCTTGAGGAATGAAATAATTTAAGAGAAAGAAATGATAGATGATCAGAAAAGTGTTATTATTAATAATTGGCGATCTATCTCTATTCGAATATCTTAAAAATAATACAGTAGTCCTGTTTTATTTTAAACAGTATCGTTTCTTATCTTTCTACAAAGATACAGTGATGAACAATAGTCGATGTTTGATGTTGAAATGAAAGCAAGCGATCGTTCGATAAAGTGTCTATAGATCAGCTGATCCAATTACGAGGTGCATGATGAACGCAATCATCATTATCGGGTCATCGTGCATTATGCGAGGCTGCCTTCACTATAATATCCAGCTTGATCGGTCGTGTACTTTGAGTGTATTAGTTGACCGGTATGCAAATAGAGATGCGTATAGCGTTCGTGTCTCTCGGAATAGAAACGTTTGCGAGCGTTTGCAAGCGCATAGAAATCGAGGCGTGGAAAGGACCTTTTGCTCTTTGTTACTTCTATCGATTGGCTTAGCGAAGAGTTACCGAAGAACCGGATCTCATTTATCAGAGCAACATGTGATAGTTAATGAAGTGTACGATCTTTGGAGGATCATTTATGCCAATTGATATGGTGGTATCATCGAGGTCGTTTGATGTTCGGACAAATGCTTTCCCTATAGAATTTTAATCACGTAATTTGAATAATATTTTACACGTACCTTCATATAGAAATATAAGATTATTATACAGATTTTAATAATTTTTCAATTGATTTTAATACAGAGTATCGGAGATTTATTTTAATGACCACCTATAGGTTAATGTATTGAAATAATTTGAAGGAAACTAATCGGGTATCTATCGATCAGTTCCAGATAAGAGCAAGGAGCCCGAATCAAAGCAATTCGTCGGTCTGGTAATCGGGATCCTAACGACGGTGATCGTAATGCTATTGGCGGCAATCATGTTCATTTTCTACCGAAATCGAAGGCTGAAGGCTGCCCTCGCACCATCCACGTTCTACGATCAACACGGTGATTTAAAGGTAAGTGTTCCTAGTTCGATTCAACGAATTTCATTCGATGCCGGATAAATTTCTGTTACAATTTTCCGGCTGCTCGTTACATCTGCTATTTTATCAAATATTGGAAATCGAGTAACGAAAATCATTTCATCGTAATTCGTCCAATGTAATCGATTTAAAACACGAACGCTTCGCTCCAATTCACCTGGATTACAATATAAACACGAAATATAAATAACAGCAACGAGATCAACCGGATCGCTTGAATTTTTTCGTAAATTCTGTTATACGGCATCTATCGTTCAGAAAAATTCCAAAAATTCCATCCCTTCCGGGCCGCGATCGGGTGTTTGACCTAAATTAAAATGTTGGCCAAAGTTGCTTTTATGAAATATATAAAATTAAGAGCAATTTAGGTCATTCTGTTGATTTCAAATTTGTTTTAAAAATACATCCTTCGATTCTTTCAATTTTTTAAAATTAATCTTCTCGGATTGAGTTAATTTTCTTGTTGTTTTCTTACTTGTTTTATTATTTTCACTAGAGAAAAAGCGATCGTTAATACGATACTAAATCGACCAATTAGATCCATGTTCGTAAAAATGAAGCACAGAATGCCTCGTTACGACCAACTAACATTTCAACTCGACACCGTCAATTTTCTAAATGATCATCGACGATCCTGTTCTAGTGGTCGTGATTTTTCTTCAGCTAGAGACTCGAGTGTCGGCTCGTTTCGATCCTAATAAACGGAATGGTAGCGTGGATATTTACTCGTCGTTTTCAACACGCTCGAGACGAAAAAGCTTTTGAGCAATCATGGTAAACGTCTTACGTTAGTCCTGTTTCGCGTTGAGTACCAGTTGTAAAACTAAAAAGTCAAATACTTTTTTTAAAAGAAACCGTCGATGATCGAAGCGGATGATCAAAAGGGCCACTTAATAAACAGGGATAAATATATTTTACCCACTTGAAATAATTTTAATTCATACTTGAAATATTTTTATTACCTTTCAAATAAAAGTCCTTGCTATTAGAATAAACAGTCATTCGTGTAAACGATAAAAGCTTCTGCAAACTCGTAATATTTTTAATTAATCAACAGAGTATAATTATTCCCTTTTAAATAGTAAAGTTACACGTGTTTGTAAGAACGTTGGAAAAGTTCCATTAACATTACTTAAATCAGCAGGTGATTACATGGTAAAAATGTATTCGAAGAGAAAATGCAGCAACACGTTTCAAAGGAACGGTTGCGCATATCTAACACTTCATTTCCAAGTGGAATGTCCACGGTGTTCGTGAATTCCTGTCGAGCTACGTGTAATAGCGGGAATTATTAAACTTTTATATTTGTTGTCGACCGTGGTTCGCTATTCCCTTGGCTAAAGACAGGATGTATCCTCTCTGTACGCGGACCGCTGGTAATGAGAGCGCGTGCCTGAAGACGGATCCACTTTGTCCCGGGGAAAAATTAATTACCGCCGTTAGTGTGGCGAACAATGTTGAAACACGCTGCACAACGAACGGCTTGGAAAAATTGTGCTCACGTAAAGGGGACGAAACAGAACGGAAACAGTGGCAGAAGGAATTTAACCTTTTTCCTGTTAAACACTTTTGACGAATGGATCCGTGGTCACATTTCTGTGAACGCAGTTAGTTCTTTCTTAATTAGAAAAATTATCAATTTCTATCGGACACTTAAATGAAATTCAATAGTTGTATTGAGTGTCCGATAGAAATTGATAATTTTTCTAATTAAGAAAGAACTAACTGCGTACACAATAATGTATTGAAATAATTTGTATTTCATTTTAAAATGAATACAATTCGTTTGGAGTTATAATTAAAAAGCACGGAGATTTACGAAAGTGCAGCTAATCTTCCCTCCGGATCATTAAACAAAAGCGTTTCCGGTGGGTCGCATTTATTAGACAGCCAGAAGAGGTCTCTTAAAAGTCTCTCCCTATTTCCTAGCATCGATTCAGCTTCACCCTGAACCAATATCATTCCCATTGAATAAATTTTAACCAGCCAGTCGAGCTGACTCCACTTAATTAAAAGAGCCGCTCGTATGGCGGTATTGTTGGCACAAAACGTGCGTTATCTGGTCCACGAGTAAGTCTGTATACACACGTAAGCGTCTCCTTCGTGTTCGACCCTGTTCCACGCCACTTCCGGTATTAGCCACCTGCTACTTGTCTCGCCTCGACGTTGCAAACCTGTCGAGTGTCTCGTTTCCCTTTTTTCATTGCACTTCCGACCTCTTTCCACTTCTTTTCTAACACCGTTCGCAAAAAAAGGGTGCGCTGCTACTGATTTTTCGGTAATTGTGAACAGTGTTTTTGCGGTATTCGTTTTCCCACGGAAATAATTTTCAAAAAACAACCCTTAATGGGAAAGGTATCCAATTTGACAATTTTATTATAGTTAACGCGTTAGAAAACGTATGATGGTTAATAAAATACTTGGCAGATAACCTCGTATTTGCCTGAAATTTGCAGGAAAAAAAATTAATTTGTAGTTGATATTTCATGGGGTCAGCCAGATCCGCCCGATGCGGAGGGACGATGAAATATTTATAAGCTCCCAACACGACGGTCCCGGTTGGTCTCGTAAACAATGCCAGAAATTTCAGTCCAATGATATATTGTTTAACGAGAACCGGACAGTATTTTTGTTCTGGAGTACATCGTGTTGGATCCGTTTTGAAATATTTCTACGCAATATTATTAAATTAGTAGCCACGGGGTGGACGTAAATCGTGAATGAATAATGCGTCAGAAACCAGTGAAACCGTTGATTCAACGCATTTTCCATCTTTTTATCATATAAATTCATATGACAGATGTTCCCAGAAAAAAATGATCGTTATCTGTGTTGACATTATCGTTATTCCATCGCATTCGTTCATTCGTTCGACGAGAATGGTCAGTCGATTTTCTCGTATCGAAATACCCGGTGTTTCTACAAAAACGCTTTTCCTACAAAAGCTTTCCTCAGTACAGCAACGAACCGAAGCTCGAACATTCCGCCGTTTATCCGGTGGAAACAATACAGACTTGTTCGAATGTTTCGCGTGCTCGCAGCCGTATTAAGGCGGCCTGTGTAACACAATGGGTCGGCTGGCATGGTTGTTTCACAGTTCGTTACTTTTTTAACGTATCGTGAAAAATATGCGTTGCGCGAGCAAACAAGAGTCAGCTGCCTGCGTTGTCGAACGATGGCGAATTATTTCCTTTCGCGAGTTATCCTGTCGCGAAAACTGCTCCTGGGGAATAGAGAAAATAAATAGAAAGATGAATTAATTTCTCGCCGGGTTGACGAATCGCTCGTTCGCGAACGTTTTCTTCTTAATGAAATATTGGAAAAATTGATCGTCGACGTTTGAACGAGGGTAAAAAAAAATATATGAAAATGTGTATGATATTGACGGTATAATTAAATTCCTTCTATAGTAATCCTTCGTCGAACAGGTAATGCTTTTTTATACGAAGGTGATTGAATTTTGAGGTCACCTTCGTTTCTTCTAAATGAAACTCATTCGTTAAATATATATTTTTAGAGGTGCATTTTATTAGATATTCCATATAGCGAAATCTTTGGGTCAAAAGGTACTTGGGTGGAAAATTAATTATTTTAAAAAGTATTTTAATTTCCAGTTGTCCATTTTCATCCTTTCATATATCCTTTTTTTTTTTTAAATTCTTCTTTTGCCTCGAGATCTCAAGTACTTTATTTTTAAAAAAAAATCACTTTTCTCCGCGTCTATTTTATAGAGCTATCACAAATTACCTAATCAGATTGTTCTGCGATAAAAGGGCATGATTTCATTAAATTTCATGGAATTTATTACTGTCGAACGGTCCGATCGTCAGACAGGCCCGTGAACGCGCTTTTATTCCAATTTGACGAGGGTGTCACGGGGGTGTGGTGGCGCGAAACGAAGGGTTCTCGTTGAATTAGAGAGGGTGGCAAAGAGAGAAAGGGAGGCGTTCAAAAGTGAGATAATGCGATTACCGACTTTAGCCGTGGGGTTCGTCGCGATACCAGGGGTGGCTATGCGAAAACAGATTATTTTAATTTAAAGCAACAAACTCTCTCTCTGATTCTCGTATACCGTAATCCTGACCGCAAATTTGACGTACGCGTGTATCCGCATTGTCACGACCGCTAGTTTCCGGATTAAGCATTAGAGCACAACCAAGCCAAACGTTCCACCGTCTTCCTGATGAAAAACAAACAGACGGTTCGCTGCTTCACGCGGCATCGTTTTCTTTTCCCTCGTTTTTCATCATTTTTCTTACTGCTGTTCTCGAATAAAAGATTTTTCACGAACGTCCAAATGATTTTTCGTTAATTTTCAATTAATCGAATGCCTTAATATTATACTGAAATTAATTGCGTTAAAATTAATCGATGCACGAATGTGTATCTTTGCGAAATTAATCTAAACACGAAATGGTTTTGACAAAAACTCACCAGTTTACTTGGTACGCAGAATTTAATTCAACGGCGAGTGCAACGTGATAAAGTTTATTTTAAAATACACGTAGCTCTGTGTTTTATAATATACGTAAAAATCCCGTTTAATTTAATAGATGTTCCTATCTCGGCGTACTTTATTTTATATATACCAGAATTTTTCTTTGCCCGTAAAATAACTCGCGCGAAAAAGGCTAAATGATATCTAACGTGATTATCCGAACGGATAACGTTTGCAATTTTCGCGATTACGCGAAACGAGAGATTGAATTGCGAATCTCGACAAAATTCACTTGAAACTCATGCGAAGAATAAACGAGATAGAAGAGATTATACGTACCATCGAACCGTAATTTTCGTCGATCTTCGAGAGGAACGAACGTTATCGTACCGCAAACGCGACGAAACGCATGGTTTATTGTACGGGTATGAAATTAAACGATGATATCGCGTTCGAAAGACACTCGAATCAGGATCACGATCGGCCACGGTTGAAACGGTTCTTCGTTCGAGGAGATGGAGAAAGAAGCATGAAACGAGTGATGGAGCAAACGATACCCGGATAACGGGCGAGTGTCGAGAGAAGACGGAAAATGGGCAAATATCCGACAGGTTGAACGGCAAAGAGGACAAAAGCGTAGCCGTGGTAATGAAAATGGCAAAAAGCACTTCGCCGTTAATTAATGGAAGTTCGTTTTATTACTAGAATCCTCCGCTCTCGTACGTTTGGGATTTCATCGAGCGTCACCCCTCGCGATCCTTTTCCTTCTTTTTTTTATGCTTATCCACGAAGGAATTACATTCGCGTTATTTATCGCGTTTATTCGCGAGGTACGTTCGGAATTGAGGTAATCATTTCACCGAACGATCATCCAGGATTCCTGATGAAACTTAAAGAAAATTCTCTCTTTTGTACGATCTAAATTCCAAGCATTTGAACAAATTTACCTTAAAAATAAAATAAATAAAATACACCAATTCTGTTGGACACGATTTCCATCAGCAACACCTGCTCAAAATTGACCACATACAAACGTCTCGATGATTCCCCGTCCTGTTTGAAGATGCGATAAATGATGGCAACGCGTGTCCTGTCGGCAACATTCATCCTGTAATCCTGGAAGAACAGCCTCTCGACACAGCAGGAGCTCAGCGATCGAGCCATAAACGTGAAGGAGCGAACGACGTCGCTTTGAATGCCGGCCATAAGGGCGGCAGAAGACACGACAGGACTGTAGATACAGCCCTAATGGTGAAAGAGAAGCGTTAGATGGGACGCTTAGATGACAGGAAGACGAGCAACGGTACCAGAAACGACAGCGATCAAAGAAAGCGAGAAGAGGTTCGACGGGGAACACGCTGGAAAAAGTGGAAAGAAGAAGAGCGGGCAGGGTAAAGAGATTCGTGCAAAGAGATTCGAGCAGAGTCCCGATGGCTAAGTGGTTATCTTATCTTAACGGTGCCACCGTCTCGCCGGCTCTGCCACCCTAACGCTTCCTAAACGGAAATTAACACCCCCACCCCTTATGGTAACCTGGCTTCTCGACCAGGCCGTCTGTGACATTCGCGCCGAGGGCAAGGCAAAAATCAATGGATATTATATATCGCAAAGTACAGAGACTATTCGACGACCCGACACGATCCTCCTTATCGTTCTGAACGAAAGGAAGGGATGAAGTGTCACTACTGGTAGGGAAAGATTGTTTGTTACGCGATTAATCTTGTGTGTTCTTCCTGTGAAAGAAAAGGTTCATAAAAACATTTCTTCAAATTGTGAAATTTAATTACATAGCGTATGAAACTACGACTTGCACGTCTATTTGTTCCACTGCAAGAAAAAATTGAAAATTTTTGAAACGAACTTACCGAATCTACTTTACGAGTACTTTTGCAAGTAGTAATGAATTATCGATTCGTACATTTGGCTGAACGTTGATTATTAACGAATCAGTTCTCGTGTAATATCCTCTGATTCAATTTCCTCGAACGTCAGGGAGAACAGTAACTGATAATTATTCGTTAATACGATTCAATTTTATTCCACGGGAATTATGTAGCAGGCTAAATGCGTATCGATGCATCGTGTTACTGATTATATTAATACCTACGTAATTATCAACAATTCTTTCATGATGGTTTATACACTTTTTGAAACATTATCAACTGACTTAAATACTTTTCGTCGCTGATATTAACCACGCTTCGCGATTTCATGTAACTCGTGGATCAAACACCAGGAATGTTTTGAAAATCGATGATGATTTAGGACAGAAATGCATATTAGTGGCACGAAGTGACGGAAAGTTTCCGGGGGAGGGGCGTATCGCTTTTGCCGTTCGATACACATGCTTGCCGTGTGCATAAATGTCAGCCTCATTAACGAGAACGCTCAATATTCGGTCGCAGGTCTCCGTGCAGGAGGAGGGCGAGGACAAGGGACCAATTTGCCCTCCACTTCCGGCGCAGTACCACCCCGCCGCCTACACCACGACGACACCGCAACTACACAAAACTATCACGGATTACAGTGGTTGGTAGCGACATTAAGTGTAAATGTTTAAGCCCTTCGAACTCTCTGCATGCACACGCACCGTTTGCTGGAATTCAGTTAAATAAGACGTAACGTTAAATAATTAATTCCCAGGGTTTTTGGGAATTATCAATTAGTTACAGAACATTTGACGTGTTAAGTTGAAAATTTTCATAATTAAATTTTACAGTCGAATTATTGCATTAAACGTTTGTTATCTAATTGATGATAATTTGATTTAAATTAAATCATAAGTTTCGTGTATAGTTCATCAATTAAGGATTAAATCTTTCAAAGGATTAAATCTTTATCTTTAATTACATATTAGATCAATTTAAACTAATTGGAATAAATTGGAGATTCTGGTGTAACGATAATTAAAATTATTACAGAAACTCTTATCAGATGAAAATGAACAATTTCACGCAAATTTAAAGTGCGCTTAACTAACGTTTAATTTCTCTACTATTTATTAGAGCAGCGTGTAATTGATACCAAGGGAACTTCAAATGAATAGCTCTGCGTTGCGGTATAATATCGAGTTTGTGTTCAATTAAAATTGCATCAAATCGCGGTGCGCTATAAGCAATGATCGTGACGATAAATGCAACACCTACTGTGATATCGAAGCATACAGGCCTCGAATTAAATTACAGCCTAATGATCGACGGCTTATTATAGAGTTTGAGGCGCTTAAGCCAATACTTACACGGGTACAAATCATAAAGAATCGGGTAATTTATCGCGCTCTCGTGTCTAGGCCGACTATATCTCTAATCAGTCCCGTTGGATCTAAAGTTTCCTTAGCTTTCACGTTTTCGAATGTTTCTCGGTAAAAGATAGAAAAAATGCAGCAACGGTCTCGCGACTATTACTTCTGGCAGAAAGGTTCGCGAAGCCGAAAAAAATTCAGACAACTCTCCAGCGAAGCATGCTTTTATCCGTCCAACTCGAATAGTTGACGAGTTATTCCGTTTTCTCGTATTTGCCACGCTCTCGTCGAGGGAAACGTTCCTCGATGCTTCGCGAAAGTATTTCGCTAGTAGCTCCTGTCACAAAATTGCTTTTCTCTTCTTTATATCATTCGGAGAAATAAAAACATTTCACAATTTTCGAGCGACTATTGTCCACGCTGTAGCGAGGATTGTCAATTCTGAGATAGCTCGATCCTGGCCGATCGCGGCTGAGTGATCGATTGGATCAGAAGAAGAATAAAGTGTTAAATTTGTAAAGTGAGTGATTTACGAACCTAACCCAAGTCTGCCTCATGAAAGGTAGACAACTATGAATGAAACCATTTTGGATTATGAGTTGAGGACAACGTCTCGAGCATACTGAAATTTTGACCCGAAAAAGTAACCAACAATCGCGTTACATGTCGTAATAGAAGTTACACAGTTTGGTAATAGAAAGACGGAAACGTAGGAAGTGGTTGTTGGAAAGTTCCAAGGAACATGCAACGCGGAGGGCGAGTTAAAACTTGACCAATAATTTCTTGCGTGCGAACTGGCCATTGTGTCTTTTTAACCTTGTTAAAATTCTTTTTTTTTCTCTCTCTTCCCCTTCCGAACGGACAGGGATCACCGAGGTGCAGCCGGTTATTCCGCTGTTGCTGAACACAGCGATCAATCTTACCAGACCGATTCCGCCGGTTCAAGAATATCCATCTAATCCACCGCCTATACCACCGCCGCCGGAAAAGTATTACGCCAGCACGGAGATCTGTAAGGTGAGTATCAAAAATGTACGCCAGACATGCGATCCATGACGATTAGTCCTTCGAAGGAGCACGTTAATGCGGCCCACTTTTCGCGTAAAACTGTGTCAAACGTCGGTTCGTGACTTTCGGGCCTTTTAAGTTGCGATCATTTGTATACAGGGTGGGTTGAAAATTCGAATCTAGTACAAGTTATTCTACATGATAAAATAAAGAAAAGATTATTTTCTCTTTGATAAACTCTGTTTAAAACTAAGATTGTAAAAATAATTTTTACACACTTAGAAAATAAATATTGGAAAAATTCCTTTGGAGGTAATTGTATCAGAAAAAAGTAGGCAAACAGGAGGTAATTTCAGTGGAAACGAAAGAATGCCTAACAAGGAAAATTTCAGAATATTTTCTCTGAATAAGCAGCTTCATCTCGTTTTTCCTACAGCATCCCGGTTTTTATTACAGAATTCTTTGCCACCGTTGCCGCCATCTCCAACGCCGAGCACGCCGCCGCCAATGAGCGCGAAAGCCTCCAGCAGCATGACAAGCTACAGTCCCGAGGATATGCTTACGGAGGAGGAGGACGAGGTGCCCGAGTGCATCTTAGACTTCCCCCGGGAGAAACTGAACATCGTTGAAAACCTCGGTTGCGGATACTTCGGCGACGTTCACGTTTGCGAGATCGACAGGTTTCCTGGTTACGATGAAGTTTTCCGGAACACGAGCAGCGATCTCGTGATCGTTAAATCCTTGAGACCTGGCTCTTCGGATGCGCTTAGGTAAGAATCCTTTATCATCGAATATCTTCTTTTTTCTGGCTGCAAATTTTTATAATATTCAAGTATAAAATATTATAAATGGGTGGTTTTAAAATTTGAAAAATTCTAAACTGACAGAGTTATCCGTTTCATCTGTGACGGACTTTTTATTTAAATCAAAGCACCGTATTAATTTCTTGCAAAGTTTTGGATTCACGAAACAACGGAACGTGGCGTTAAATCGGGAACCGATAAAACCGTGGACGGTAATTAAATTTGCCAAATGGAAAATGAATCGAGCAACACGTTATTGGTGGACTCGTTTAAGTCGGCGAATTCAGTGGCCGAAACTATTAAGCGTTCGATATTTCACGGTGAATGAAAATATGGGAAGTATAGGATAACTGGTGGAAAATTATCCTAGCCGATTATAGAGTGCTACTCTGATTCATTTATTATCCATCCGGTTAATGGAACGGGTAGAACGAGGTGGCGGCAAGTGGAAGGGATAATGGAAGTGTAGGGCATCGATAGAAAATTATCTCGATCGATTATATTTAGAGCAGCCTGTTCACCCGATAATTCGATAACAGGCGGCACAAAGTGATTTCGAATATAATGACACGGTTCGTGTATTAAGTAGCCGCGACGCTATAATGTAGAGGAGGTGTTTAAGCTGTCGATGATCGACGTCTCGTCGAATAATTTATTTGACTTTGCTTGATTGCAAACTGAAAAATTACTTCCTTCTGATCCGTAGTAGCGGTAGATTTTCTAAAATATAATTTGTTTTAAAAGCAGCAAATTTTTTCTTATTTCTTTGGTAAAATGTCAAACAATTTTCCTGAAAATTTGTACGTGTAAACTGTGTCAATACCACAAACATGGATAAATTGAAATTTTCGTGTTTACCTTCGTGATAAATATTCAACCATTTTAGCAACAAAATTTGCGAAGGTTCATTATTTTTCAAGCAAATTGCTTTTCTGAAAATCTATTTATATTGATGAATATTATCCCTCCATAATTAATGACTGTCGATAATACAAGAACACGCGTCAAAAATTTTACTTTTTGAAATAAATAAGAATCAAAATATCGGCAGCTTTTGAAAATGTTACAAATTTTTCGAATAACCCAATGTAATAGCAATACCAGTTGATCAGATTTTTTGGATTAAAATTATATCGAACCTTCTTTGATGTCCAGTTTCGCTCAAACTTTAATCAATTGCATTCGGTAGAACTTTACAAAATTATAATTTACTCTGTCCCGGTCAGAAAGTTCAGCTTTGCTTCTGTACACTCGAAAGTTCTCCACGTTGTCCCCCGGAGAGACGCATTTTCCGGTTTACGTTCTGACCCTTTGTAGCTCAAACTTCCTCAAAATAGGAGAATTTATTAACCAGAATCCAGGAACAAGGTAACGTCACGTCGCAGCAAACATTATCGTGATCACCGTATTTGATAGCTCGAATTACATGAATTTCCATTAGAAAGTAAATGAAATTTTCTTTTCTAACAGAAAAGAAAAACACGCAATACCAATTTCTCTTTCATACAAAATATAAAGAAAAGAAAACTAAATAAAAGCAGAGAGGATTTGTTAAACAGGAAACTCACAAATCTAAAGTTCTCAAAACCCATGTTAGGTATCTTCTAGAATCCTTCTTCTATTCTTCCGTTGTTTTCTATTCTCCTTCCTCGTCTATCCCAGGAAGGAAACAAAAGAGGAACGAGGAGAAAGACCGCTTTCCGATACAGAATGCTCGCATTATTTCCAGTATATCCGTGTGTCCGTACTCAATAGCCGTCCGATAGGTAGGTCAGTCAACTATAAAGATATTACTTCCGAGTGTCCACGTGTATTTTTCAGGATAGAGTTTCAACAGGAAGCAAAAAGAGTGGCACGGCTAGCCGATCGGAATGTTGCGCGGCTACTGGGCGCGAGCCTCGAAGACGACCCCATGTGCATCGTATTGGAAAACGGCGAGTACGGGGATTTGAATCAATACCTGCAGAGTCACATCGCTGAAACATCCACTGTACAGACGGCTAAGACCCTCAGGTAGGAGTAATTTAAGTTGTTTCGCAGAGGAAACGATTTTATCCGGTACTAGACACAATAGAGAATGGGTAGATCGTTCGTATAGACGTGAAAATACTGTCGAATTTATATTCGATATTCGAAAACAAATAACAGAGTAAGTTTAATTACCGATTAAATTTTCCAGAGATATTTAAACTTGAATTTCATGGCATTCTACTCGTTTGAAAGCTTTCATCGCTTTTCGATTCAGATCAGAGACTCTTTTGTTTATTTCCGTGTCACAGGAACAATAATGCAGGAGCATTGTGGATATTTCACGCGTTGTAAAGTGAAATTAATTAACTTTACAACGCGTTAATGTGACGAACAATAGGCGGATTCGATACAATGCAATTGTAAAATTAACACTTTGAGTGAAATTCAATTTTCATTAGTCTTTCTATACTCAATACTTCCAGTAGAAACATTCGCTGCCAAACAAAATTATTTAATATACGGATTACTCTTTCCAACTTCTTTTTTTTTTATTAAGAAGTTATAAATATTACGTGTAAGAGGGTACAACTTTATTTCAATTTAAAAATAAGTACTTTTGCTGTGAAATCGTTAGCTAATATTTGCTGTTGCGATTCCACTGTTACCATTTCTGTATCGTCAGCATTGTAACTGATCCAATCGAGGACGAAACAACGATTATTCTTTCTGTCGATGTCGAATTGCCGACAAATGATATTTCGATTAACGATGTCGTCCGAAATCGCGATGAACCCAATTTTTCGGGCTTGATCGTCGTGGAAATGTCAGTTCCAATCGTACACGGGTCACGCGTGGAAAGTGCTCGAAATAGGAGAAATCGATCGAAAATGAGAGGTGAACGAGAGGGAAGATGATCGGTGCTGGTGACAGCTGTCGGTGAACCATGTATTTTTTCTGTGCGTTCGCACAACGATCACCCGTTGCAACGGAAACAACCGATAGAAACCGTCCATCCTTTGTCTTTGTTAAAAACGAGCAAGCATATCGATTTACAGTGTGCTAGAGATTTACAATCCAAATAACAACCTACTTTATAACAAACATATATTCTTTTCCCTGTTGATGGTTTGATTCATACATTTGTTTCTCCTTGTGCCATGCTCCATTACAGGTACCAAAAATCCGTCCGGAAGTTCGGCGACGCACGGTACTTAGACTCCGTTCCCTCTATTTCGAATTTATTTTTTTCAAGGGGTTTATAAATTGATTATAGTTCTTCTACTTTGAGGAGCGATACAAAGAATTCACGAAAGAATGAAATTCTATTTAGATTGAAAGGTTTCTGGAGTAGGAATCTACAAGCGGCACCCATTTGAATGAAACTTTTATATTTCATCGTATTACAGCACAGTTAAGTAATTACTATGTTCATTAATAATAAAAGCTCTATTAATCAATTTTTAATCACTGACATAAGTCTGTTAAAGTGTTGATAATAGAATTTTTAATACATATTGTATATCATAAATAATAATTCACTTGACGTCAAGTAAATTAACCACATTATTTTTTAAATCCTAACAAAGGAAATCTTTGAAAAAGCTCAAAAGAACCGTTGAAAATTTATCTCTCTCTACTTTTCCTCAAAACAACCAGCCCGCGAAAATAAATCCGAACACGGTAAAGCGACCTGAAAAAGATTTGCATGCGTTATTTAAACAAATCGTCGACTGTCGTGCATTATCTCTGGTTAGAAGCTCATCGGTACGATAACCGAGAATGACGACGATAAAAGTGGTCGGTGCATCCAGAAAAAAAAATCGTTCCTCTCGTACGCGTCTCAAACAGGAAACCCTGAAAAAAAAGGACGGGAAAACCGTGAAGTTTGTGATCCAGGAACAGAACAAACACGAGCAAAAACGCTCGATCTGTCGAGCTTTTGTTACCGATGCAAATGGTCCGCGAGTTTTCCTCTTCGCTTTAAAGCGTCGTCATTTGCGGTATTACGAGCTAATATCAGCGTGTACATACACTATCGTAAATAGACTGCGAATGTCGCTCATTTTCATGAAATATTTTCTTACAGGAAGATGCTTAAGAGCGTTATCTTAATTTAACAATTGTACACATTTTCTGTATTGTACCCCGGTTCGATCGTAAGTATCTGGTTTGCTCTCCGTAATAAGGAAGAAATTCCTTGAAAAATAAGGGAAGCTGAAAGTTGTCCAGATATTTACGAAGAGTGACGCGTACGTGGTGGCACGTATACATTGACGTAGTTTCGCGGGGGCAAACTTTCTGAACGGAACCGTCTGCTTCTTCCTGTTTCAGTTTCGGCACGTTGGTTTACATGGCCACGCAAATAGCATCCGGCATGAAACACCTCGAGGAAATGGACTTCGTGCATCGGGATCTCGCCACAAGGTAACGACAGACAGCTCCTCGTAGATTACTTTGAGCCAAACTTTGCCGATCAGTCACTCGTTCGACGACACGAACCCGTGTTGCTCTCTTTGCCTCGTGTAAACGCGTTTCCTCTTCGACGTGTTACTGTTAGTTCCACGGAAACTGGTACTTTTGTTTGTGCACCAAGTCGATAGCTATGGTTACCGCTACGACTTCGACTGCACCGAGTAAAACTATCGCGTTCAGTTATGTCGCGCTCACTTTCCTCGACGATAACGATTAGCGCGGAGTAATGAAACAGTTTCGAAGCAAAATCGTTTTAGTATAGTTTGAAACACTTGAATAGTTACACTGCTTAATAACGTTCTTGGAGGTGCTATGGCTTTGATACCGATTCCTTATTGAGAAATATCAATCTTTACGAACGAATATCGTTATGAAAATAAACTTACGTAGCACAGAAGCATGGCATCGCAATATTTTGTCGACATCCGTCTGCTAGCCCAGTTCGAAGAATAAACTCGTGCAACTTTCTGTTTCTCGAAGCACTTTAGTTTCTCGACGATAACCGCGCGGAATAGCAAATTCGATACGAAGATGTCTGTCCACAAAAGTCTCCGATTGAAACATTCAAAGACCTAGATTCTTTTTATAGAAGAAAATATGTTGCAGATTTCTTTCCACGTTATCAAACTGTATAATCTTTTGAAAGTTTTGGAAAGTTTGTAGGGGGAGATTTTCCAAGCCCTCTCGTTATTTTGTCGAATCGCGTCGCAGCTTTTCGAATCTCGGGCAAAACTGTCGGATAGCAGGCAACTCGACGAAAATGTTCGGCGTAGCTCGGGCCATTAAAAGCTAACAAGTGGGGACGTGGGATGGCTGGGTCACGTGTTCGAATTATTAACTCTAATCATAAACTTTAATTACAATGGGTCGAGGCACAGGCGTCGGTGTCGCATAAACGCGGAACGGTCGCGCGCGGCTGAAATTAATTGCCCGTTGATTTATAGAAACGGGTTTTGAACGCTGTGCTCGGAAAATAAAAGCTTCGCGCATTTCCCACTCTGCCGGCTTTCTTCTTTTCCATCCCTTCTACTGAAATCACTGCAGATTAAAAGGCAAATAAAATCCCTTCAATTAGCTAGTTAAGATTCTTTCCATTAAAAAAATAGATGACCCAGGCAAGTATTAAATACAAATTGCAGGAATTAAGATATAGCAAAATATTGAGCCTTGCAAGATTGATTCTTCATCGACAGGTACATTTAAAAAGCATAAACCTGAGAAGCAAAGATGCCTGAAAAATGAAGGAAGAGGTAGCAGGTACTAAAGCTTTTCACAACCAATAAACAGTCGGTTTTACGTTGAAATCAGTGCGAAACCTGGAGCGTCCATAGCTTTCATCGCGTTCAAAACCTTTCTTCTTGGGACTGCTTAAAAGCGACTCGCGCTCGAAACGATTCGAAGGAATGCATCGTCGCCAAATGAGGCTATAAAACACGTGAAAACTCGACAAACCGTGTGGAGAACAAAGAATTGCCTTCAGCCGAAGTAGCTATACCCCGTGAAACAGGAATGAGATACCTAAAGTTCCAGTTATCTAATATTTGATTTTTGATAAATCCGAAGTTGATGATAACATAATATTCTTTCGGTAGTTCGAACAGTTCCGTTGATTCGAGAGGATATTTTTACTTACATTTGAAGGGTTAATATTTTTCTCAGACAAAGTTACACAACGAACGATAATACTTTGACAAAACAGTAACGCACTTGAAACGCGTACAACTTGTCAGAAAAGTGTATCCTTCGAATCGATTCTGATCCCCTAAGAAGATCGCGAACATTCTTTTGAGTACCGTTCGTAGCGATACATTTGTCTACGTGTTCGAGTGGCAGAATAGGGAGAGACCGGAATAATCCTCTCGAATACGGATTATCTCGCAAAGTCTATCATGTTTTCTCGTAGTATAAAAGTTCTGTCGCAAATAGAGGGAGGGAGGATCAGTGGCTCGACCGTAGGGTTTGTTGAAGCAACGAATGAAAAGAAAAAGAAGGAAAATAAAAAATACAGAAACGAGCTATGAGATAAATGATCCCATTATTGTATTGTATGTGCAAGAACGTAATCGTTTGAAAACAGTTTTCTTTTTTCAATAATAGTAACAAAATGATATTTTATTTTATTTACTGCTACGCTGTTGTGAATATTGAAAAAAGTTAGCTAATGTGGGTCAACTGAAAAAATGTCAGCGCAACGTGGTTGAAAAATATATACGAAACTGCTGCGGCAGCTGTTGTAATAAAAAGAGAAAAAAAGAGAGAGAAAGAGAAATAAAGAAAAATAGAGTTTATGGTCTGGTTGCAGAAACTGCTTGGTGAGCCGTGGGTATACAGTGAAAGTGTCAGATCTAGGCTCCGGAAGGAATGCCTACGCGGCTGACTACTTCCGGGTCGAGGGTCGACCTCCGCTGCCAATTCGCTGGATGGCCTGGGAATCCATGCTGATGGTAAGTCGTTAATTAACGTTGCTACCGGTAACTGGCTTAGATTTTTAACACTCGACGATGGAAATCTACCGACGACTTGGATAGTTTAATTAAATATCGAGAAATTACAGAGTTAATTTAGGATTCGATGAAACGAAATTAGATTAATTCTTTCGATTTCTTGAGATTTCTTGAATTAAAACAGCTACTTTATTCATATTTAAATCTGAAAAGGCTTGAAATATACGTAACTGAATTATCAAAATGCTAATCTAAAATGAAAGTTCCACAAATGACAATTTTGGCACGGATGTTTGCCTTTAAAATTCATTGATCCCTGTGTTAAAACAACAGCTATTACCGTTTAATGGATCGCTTTCACGCGCTTCGAGCCATTTCGACTTCGATTTATCCTCGATCCAGCTGGATCTATTCTAACCCTCCAGCTTGCTCAGAAAGCCATCCTACATTGATCCACGCAGATCGCAGTGGATTCAAGCAGTTAAAGCGGATTCAACCTAGAGCGAATAGATTAGATCACATTAGAGAGGTAATAACTCAAAACGTTCGGTCGTATCTGCGTCGTTCAATTCAGTTAACGCAAGCTTAGAAACGATGAATTATCAAAATTTCAAATTGTACAATATATATTTGACTAACAAAGCCGCAAACACTATCATTCTTGATTTTCGTCTTATTTCGATCCCTAGAATCAGCCCTTAAAAAATCTCCCACCTGTTGTTGAACACCCTGTATAAAAGGTACTACACAAAATCATATCAGCCAAAATCATTCTCAACCAAAGAGAACGTTGACAGTTCATCAACAGTATCGTTTCGAATTGCGAACAGGGGGTTGGCGGGGCAACAGTTATCGCGTCGTTTAGCTTGCAGTAACGCGAGACCGTTAGCATTCACGGCCTGGTACGCCAGGAATGAAGTCGCGAAAATACGTATTCCACGTAGTGGCGCGGTCACGGTGAATTTATTGGCAACGGACCAGTATGCCGGTATATCAGTGTAACGAATGGTAGCTAGGTCCCCGCGACCGACGTATTTTATTCGATGCCATCCTGTTTTTAATTTCTCGTTCGTAGTCGATATTGAACTGTCGATCCGCGAAACCGCGAAGCATTGGCCCGATAGAGTTGTCTGCGGTCGTGTGGCATTAGCGAATAGAGCTTATTCCCCGTGTCATCCACGGAATTGTGAAAGTTCACGTTCGTGAATTCGTTTTCGATGTCCGATCAATTGTTCCTGCTTAACCAGCCCTCTTTCGACGCGTTTGTTCCACTTCGCATACTTTCTATCGGTTATCAACCATTCTAGGAATTATATTTTGGTTCTGATGATGAATAGAGCAAGAAAAATCTCTTGTTATTTTTTTGGAGAAAGGATTTATTCTTTCGAAACACGAATTATACTTGGGAATTAGAATTGTATGACGTTTCAATGCGTTTATGAGGAAAATAAGTAGTATAAGTCAATAATTGGTCAGGCGCGGCGCTAAATACTGACACGATTGTTCTACTTTACAAATTTTCGTCAAAATATGCTTGTATAAATAACAGAAAACGCTTAGAAAACGAGGTACCTTATTACAAGTTCAGTTCGTTTCATCGAGGAGATGGAAGCGTCGATTTAAATCCATCGGCGAGACCCGTTACCATCGGAAATCGCGTATGAATGAAATCCGTGCTGCGGCAAATTGATAGCTAAATGGTAATTCGACGAAATGGGAAACGAGCAGCCGATATAGTATTTTGTCGGTCGTTCACGTAGTCATTTCAAATTGACTGTGTCGTTAATGTTTCATTATTGCCATCGTTTATACGACCTACGCCATTGTTCCGCGTTAATGAAACGAGACCGTGCCGCTTCAAGAATTATATGGAATTAGCGTAGTTTTAATGATTTAACGTTTGACTTTATTCACTTTGACACTGGACGTGAACTAATGATAAAATTATTATCAATATCAATATTAGATCTAATATACTATATTGATCCCTTCCCACAGATCGGTTGCCCTAAGCTTTACCACAATCGACTAGTTTCTTTGTATGTTAAAAAATTTCAAAATGTTCATTTCGAAAGCCTCGATTCGATAACATAAAATCTAATTGCTCAACAATTTAATTGCTCATTTGGAACTGAATAGCGAAATACCCGCTTCTAATTATCGGGAAAAGAACTTCTTGTGTTTATAAAAGATACTTTGATTGAGTAACGATATTCAAAATTGGTAACACGTTTAAGTAAGAAGCTTAGTCAAAGTAGATTCCTAAAACAGTTGCTACTTTCTTATGTGAAAGTTTAGTTTATATTACAATTTACAGATAATATTTCAGTGCCAGGATTTGCACGTTTCTTTTTCAATCGAAAACACTTAATAAAATTTTGATTCAAATCGCATCATATCGCAACCTAACTAACGTGATAAATCAATTGCAGTGACGATCGTTGCAATGATGATTGCGAAATTCATCTCGATACGGAAGTTATAAGGTTTCCGGTACATGCGTGACCCGGAAACTCTCGACCAGCATATTCACGAAGATGGAGTAGTTCCTCGGAATTACGTAACTAAAGCATTTAAGTTGGAGTAATTCGTCGAGAGGTACCACCTGATGTGCTTCTCGCCTTGGAAATGGTCCTTAAATTTGAATGGCATCTAAATAACTGTTTTGATTACAACCGGGAAAATCATAACCCAGTATTGTATAATAGTTACCCTAGAAATTACAATAATTCGACTGGCATATTTCACAGCTCAATGAAACTGGGTTAAAACCATTAATAGAGTAACAGTTTCTTTAGGGCAGAAAGTTACACTCTGTCTGCAATTGTTAACGATTACTTCGAAGGAGCGAAATTGATCGCAAAGTCTCGAGGAACGTTTCCGAGCACTTTTCAGCGGTGAATTTGATGAACGACGTTTCAAAGACCGTTCGAAATAGCGTAACGTTTTCCAACGTGTTTCCACGTCGATGCACGGTTTCGGTTTTTCACGAGGGTCGGAGGAATACGCGCGTGCCAGTCGAGGGAAACCGCAAGACGCCTTCCTGCCAATGCGAAGGAAAGGGTAAAGACGTGTAACCGTTTCACGGTGCTGCTTTCCCGTTCTAACTTCCCGTCGAACTGGTGCACGGTTTCCATAAATTACTCTGCCACACTTGCTTCCCAAGTTTCCTGTGGATCTTCGCGTTAACTTCTCCTCCCCTGGCTTTTTCACTTCTGCCAGCTAACCGTTGATCGGCGTTTACCGTTTCTCCAAACGTTATTTCTCTAACGCGTTGGTTAGAAGCATTCTGGCAGGTCCATTTTTTCCTCTGACGGAGGAAAGCAAAAATTTTGTGTTTAACGAAAAATTAATTACATCAAGATGTTTTGTGTCCCCAGGGAAGACACACAACGAAAAGCGACGTTTGGTCCTTTGCCGTGACTCTATGGGAGATTTTAACATTCGCAAGGGAACAACCATTCGAGGAACTGCCCGACCATCGCATAGTTGAGAACGCTACCTATTTTTACCAAGAGGACGATGGAAGGGTAAGTATTCCGTACCTTTAGTACAATAAATTTAATGAAACACGTTATGCTGAAAGTTGAGTACAACCATTTAGATTGTTCTGTATTCATTAAAATTTATCAGCCATAACTTTGTCCCCTCTACAGGTATTTTATTTAAACAGAAATCGTTTTGATAAGAAAGACAATCTGCGTTTCAAGTCGAAATTACGAGGCCGTTAGTTGTTCGAATATTTATGTTCCATTTACAATCTTGTTCCTTGAACAGAAAATTTATTGATCCATTTTTCGTTGCGGTATCACGAAATTTCGTAGTAAACGTGGAGGTATTCGAACATAAATTACCCGCGATGCAAACAATCTGGCTGTTATAACGGTCGTTCAGCATCGTTTGCTCAACGTGCAAGAATCTCCTGAAATTTACAGCTTTTTCTAGTTAAATATTCCAAGCAACTGGATATTGTTTAAAAGCAATGAAATCTATTCTCAGACAAACTTTGCGATGTATTCACATTTCAAAGGTACAATTTACATAGGTATACAGATGGTTATTGGAACTCAGATTATAACACAAGTTTACACCAAGTATGAATATTTCAGGTTTGTATACAGTGTGCTAAGCAAATTTATTGTAGATTAATTTATGCAGATTATTCGAGAATTATACAGCCATTTAATTTTAATCATATTATAATATTACACTTGATATTAGTATCTGTAGTTTGCATAATGTATTCCAAACATATTCGTCAATCACTCGTGTAAATCTTTTGCAAATTATTGTAAATCCTAATTACAATGTAAATTTGAACTGATAATTTATTTCGAATAAATTTGCCAGTTGCATGTTGGATTATTTATACTACTGTTCCACTGATACTAAATTTTAATCACAACACAATATTGCAGCAAATTACTGTTACCAAACTTTATTTATCTGAAACATTGAAATGTTATTAGTTGATTTAAACCAGTTCCAAAATTAATTTCCTTATAATATTATATTTAAAAGAAATTCGCCAGTGGCACCCTCCAATCCTTTGCAGATTATTCTACCGTTGCCGAAGAACTGTCCCAAAGACATCTACGAGCTGATGCGAGAGTGTTGGCACAGAAACGACGTGGATCGTCCGAATTTCCGTGAGATTCACATGTTCCTTCAACGAAAAAATCTCGGCTACAAACACGCGGACACGAACGACACTTGATACAGAGAACTAGAAGGCTGGAATTTAATCCGGCTTTCTATGATCGGCGAATTGAATGGAAACTGGTGGAACTGCCCTTCGACGACCAAGCTGCACCAGGTCAGACCAAGTTAGTACCAGGACGATCCATCGGATTCGAAATCATCCGCATCGAAGGTAAATCATTGATCAGCTGATCGAATCGTTCTTCGCATAATTTCATTTATAATTCAAACAACCATGAATCATAGAAACGCTACATCAATGTTCGTAACTAATTAATTTATCATCGACGTGCTCATTAACGTAATGGTCGAATTCCTTTGGAGATTTAAGTGTTCTTGATATACATACGTACAAGAGTCGACTGTTTTCACGGCGTTGATCAGTAAATGTAATCATTGCGAATCCGCGACGGAATGAACGCGAAACAAACGAACAATTTCCGAATCGTGGGATTCGAAATTGCAACGTTCCTATCGTGGGCCAATAGACAGGAAGCACGTTCGATAGATCGCGCTCACGCCGCTATGAAATTGATACTGTCAGCAAACAAGCTTATGATACTCGCGTCACGTTCAGAATACACGTGGCTTGAACTTGGAAAATCGTTGAAGATACAACAACGTTTTCATCGTGGCGATTCTTTTCACCAGTGAACGCGATTCGTGTCAAAGAATTGCCTTGAATCGATATTACAGATCGTCGAGATGACTAATCGAATTCATCGACGAATTTTCATATCCTCTTTGAAAGAATTTTTCGATCCTACATCGAGATAATGGATAAGGTATCCCAGATAGTCAATATTTCATTGCACAATGGGGTGCACTTTTTTTATACACTAAATTCTGCATTTCGAGGACAAAAAATTTTATGTTGAATCTTTTTTTTCTTTTTCTCGAGATTCTATCTTATTATGTGTCCAATTTATTTCGAAATGATTGGAACCGTGAAGAACACGATTTATGATTTTGATTTTAATTAGCCATCGTTGACAATGGGTATACCGGAAGTTATATTAAAGTTGAACGCTGGATGCGTCGCGATGCACAGTCTTGAACCAATTGATCGCGAACAAGGATAAAGAACAAGGGTGGGTAAAGAAAAAAAAAGAAGTCTCCTCGAGCCAGTGGCTTGCATTAAGTTTCCTGAAGCTACTAATAAGCTTAAAATGCGCTTAGCCGAAGTGCATAAATGTTTGACAATACCACTAGAGGTTGCAAGTATAAGAGTTCGTACATATATATATATATATATACAAATTATATATAGCGTGTAAAGAAATGTTAACGGTGATTAACCGATAGCGTAAATTTATTAGAGACCACGTTCTTAAGGCTTGCATTAAAACCTCCTTTGGCTCGCAGTTCGATAGATCGATTGGTGGAAAACCTTGGTCGATGGATCTTATGGATCTGGTTCGACGAAACCACCGATCGATTGTATCGTGATTCTCCGAACAAGGGATGGAAATAAGGGATGAGGGAAGCTCGTGTGACCTGAAGTTACGTTTATAGGAGAGAATAGAACACGGTCCATTTACCCGATGAATATTCTTGTTTGCCTTTTTTTCTCGACAGGAATTTTTGATCTCTATTCTCCAATTAGTGAGCGATGGTCTGTGGACGGTTTTTGTTTAAATAATTGTACATCGGGGGTTGGTTGCCATCGGCGTTATTTGCAGGCTTTCATAAAATATTAAATACATAAACTGCACAAACGAAGATGTAACCATTTTGTTTTTGGAAAAATTCATTTTGAAAATATTTAAATTGTTAATATTGGAGATATAATAATTAATTGAAATTTTTTAAAATATTCTAATGCTATTCTTATTAATTATGGAACAGCCGGGGTGTCTGATCAATAGCAGACTTGTTCCACTTGTTTCATTTGTTTATTTGTGTCTGCAACACAACAGCGTTTTTTTGCCCATAGATTTTTTTATCGAGCGATGAGGAGAAAAATGTAGCTTAATAAAAAAGGAAAAACAGGATAATCGATAATCTGAAGCTGTAGTAGGAGTTTATTGGGTACGGGACCGTGGTCAGCGAGGAACAATGAAAAATTTATGATTGTTAGAATGAATGGATAAACGATGATAATAAAAAAGATGAAAAAGGTAAAGCGATGGCGCTAGATGTTAGATCGCACGATAAATCGATGCGTTGTTCTGAGATTTGAAATGTTACATGTAAATTGCAATGTAAATCACTGGAAGAAGTTCTACGAAAAGAAATAGCATTCTTTAATTTATTTCTATTTATCGTATTAAATATCAACTTCGATTAGCACACATTATAAAAGTTTCCAAATATAATTGTTCCAATAATCCTTTTCTCGATATCCATAAAAAGAAATCTAAAATCACAGAATCGATTGAGTTCATAAAATATTCATGATCAATGACAGTAATTCTTTCGTAGAACTACTTTTGGTCGCGAGCTGAGAAATTGAATCGAGAGGTTTCATTTTGCATATGAAAAGTCTATGATATTGTCTATGACACGACGTTGGTAATTTAATATATGATATTAAAGTTAAGAGCGACTTACGATAAGAAATACTGCCACTCTATTAGGAAAACCTCTATTATATCAAGCAACAGAACTTCTTTGTATCCCTTTCCCTTCGACACGACGACAGGACGATAAAACTCGCGTTAATTTGATAGCGTAATCGAGATGAGCGTTGAGAATCCCATGGTAACAATAAACAGGAACAATAAAGAGAAGAAGAAACACAAGAAGAAGGGTAGATGGTGAAAAGAAATCAAGATCGATCGCACGAAAGTCGACCAGTCGTCCGAGCTTAACGAGATGGATCGATGGGAAATTTTAATCGACTTCGTGGATCGTCTTCTGTGCGATCGAAATGCGCGCACAGTCCTTCCTACAAATTGAATAAAAAAAAAAAAAAGAAAAAGATAAAATTAAATTCAAACGAATGAATTTTCAAGAAACACTTCTCCTCTTTGTACCGGCTCGGTCATCTTTCGTAATTAATTTCTCGTTTATTCGAATTTATTTGAATTCGTGAATGCTTCCCGTTCAATTTATGGGACGTGGGAAAAGTGGTCTCCTTTCGAGCGATTAATTATCGGAATTGAAATTATCGACCGTGCAGCGAAAGCGGATTTGTTGATTAAGAATCGTTGTATTTCAGTCACTCGCATATCGTTCGTTCTTATCGACGTTGTGACACATATCTGAACATATCGTTACTTGACAAAGATATAAGAATAATAATACGCTAAATTTATTAAAAATAGGATCGTTTCCTCTTGAAAACAGCAATTTTTCCATTGTTATTCAGTACTGATTTCTTTAGGTTTTTATAAAATTTTAGTAGGTGTTTTATAATCTTTAAACGGAAATGTGTCTTTGATAATTCGTTACTGATCGTTTCTCTTTGTAGGAAGAATTCCTCTGCTGTGAGCTGAACGTTTGATGGAGAGAGAAAGAATGTGAGAGAGAGTGTGAAAGAGAGAGAGAAATCAAGAGAGGTAAGAGAAACAAGTATATATATATAAATTATATATATAATATATCGAAAATCGTTGAAGATTAAGTGACAAAGAAAATTCATTGAATTAATCGTTTCCATTGTAGCGATAATACCGTGAGAACGCACTTTGTACAGTTTGTAATAACAAAAAATGATATATATAAAATTGTTCCGTTAATTATTCTCGTGACGCGTTTTATTCTTCAAAGGAGACGGGATCGGATATAGCGTATCAAGCTTTTTTAAAACATTTCATCGTAGTTTCGTTCGGCTCTTCGAAGCATAAAAAAAAACAGAGGCTCAAGCTTTCGCGTGCAAACCTCGTATAGTTTATCATTCTCGATTTTTATTTTAACTGAGACGTAACACGATACGTCGGCAAAAATTAATACGCTCTAGAAACGGTCTTGAATTACGCTCGCGATATTATAATTTTATTTCAAAATGAATTATGATTGTTGGATATAAAATCACAGGTAGCCTCAGGGAACTGGGATATTGACCGATGAAAAGAGATACTAAAATATCGTGAATAGTTGAAAACATAAATTGTTAAGAAGATAAATGCTAAATGATAAATAGTTCTTCGGAATACTCGTGCATCGTTAAAGGGTTACGCCTAGTTGGGATCGGATAATTTTCAAGATTTTTGTTTGCCGTCTTAATAAATATCTATTATGAAGTGAAATATACCACCAGTAGTTTTAAGATTTTTTTAAAAGTAAAATGTTAAATAATAAAATGTTAAAAAATGTTCAAGCCCTTAACAATACAATATACTAACTCAATCTTCTTTGATTTTGATTTCAAATAATCGGTTTGGAAGATGTCTTGTCCACCGCAAGTGATCTCGAGAAAAGGGCGTTCTACAAGTGTTCCCTCACTATTTAACATTTTACTTTTAAAAAAATCTTAAAACTACTTTAAAACATGTATTTTTCGATGGTACGTTTCACTTCATAGTAAGTATTTATTAAGACAGCAAAAAGAAATCTTGAAAATTACGTCATTTTTCCGATCCCAACTCTGCGTAACCTCTCAAGTATTGAAATTTCACGCCGATTTTTCAAACGCCATAAAGGGGTTGAAGTTCGAACGACAGATCGCATGTTGGTTTGTTGGAAAAGAGAATTCATAAAAGATCGAACGGATTGTTGTTTCATCGCTCGAATCCGATACCCGTCTCTCCTTTGCAAACGAGCTTTATTTCGCCGCGTGTGTTTACGCAATGGAAGCGTTCAGTTTTTGTCGCCGCGTCGCGACGCGTCGGCTTGGTCCGGTAGTCGCAAACAAAAGTCAGACGGAAGTGGCGCGTACACGTGAATTCCAGGTTTGCCGATGGAATTTAATATCCGCTGCCTTCGTTATGAAACACGATCGCGCTTTTTCTACGGTTCTATCGGCCGACCAGCGTGCTCTCGTTTTTTGCAACCCCTCGACGCGAAGGCGCAATATCGAATCGATACCTTTCGCTGGACAGATTTTGGTAAATAACAGCAAACGGCTGCATTCAAAATTTCTTCGATCCTTTTGAGAAAGGGGTGTCGCGAACTCGTAATAACGAGATAGTTTCCAAAAATCTTACATTCGTGTGCAAATATAAACGGCGAAATGGGTTGTAAATAAACCGTGAGTAATAGAATCAATTATTTATTGTTTATCGGCGAACATATCGACTACTGTGCGTGATTGACACGTTCACTGTGATAAGAGATATATCAAACTCCCCTTGCACAAAACATTTTTCATTAAATATATCAACTTATATCATTTTTCCACTATTATCATCGAAATAGCCATCAATCGAGTTCTCGAAAAATAAACTCTTCTTAAATATACAGGTTATTTCAAAAATAATATACTATCCAAAAACTGCAAACTCTCTATGCAGAGAGAAATAAAAAATGTATCTTGAAAATTAAACTGCAAGTTGCAAAAATGGATTTACAGTTTTTAGATTGTACACTGTTCTTGAGACAGCCTGTATTTAATGAAGTATCTTATATCCTACTAAAACCGTGAAGGAAATCGAGCACAGTGAACGTGTTGACGTACGAAACGCTTCACCTTGTCCCATGTGTATATGTCACACGTGTATTTACTACGTTTGTACATAACGATTTGTTTTCAAATAAATACTCAGCGCTTTGACTTTTATCCCAGTTGTGATAATCCTCTGTACGACGAGCTCCATTCCTGTCGACGTCCATCCTTGCCAGAAGTCTCCAAACACCTGTTAAGAAAGAAATTTGAGAATTAAAAGAGGTTGCTGTTCCTGGTGATTAATTCTACTTGTGCCTCGAGAAGTCGTGCGAGAGGAAGATGGTCGAGAGAAAGTTTGCTGTTGCTGGGCATCGAAAGGTAAGTCATTTTTTAACTTTATATATTTGAAAGTGAACTAGAAAAGTATCGGCATAGTTTGTTTCCCTTAAACATATAGAAGGGTTCCTGAATTAAATAAAATGATTACAAAAAAGTATAATGTGCCAATACTTGTTTGGTTCATTGTTGTTTCTTGAATTTTGGTCTTCGTTTCTTGCAATGCAAACTGTATTCGCTTATTTACATATTCAAATAGTTTCGTGTTTAGAAGGGAAATTCCTCCCTTCACTTGCATTCGTAAATACCTGATGTTAATTGTATTCAAATGCTATAGACACAGTTTTCAAGAATACCTTTGTACACGCATGGTATTCGATTTGAATACACAGAACAGTAGAAAGATCAGAGAAAATTTCACTGAAATTCTCTTCAGTATTGAATCATTTATTTTCATCGGACTTTAATGGGGGCTATAAGCCGTGCAAAGTTTAAACAGGGTAATTTTTGTTCGATCTCATGTGTTTTGAACGAAAATCAGCAATCCCCCGTCGGGTCAACGAGAGTTCGAAATAAAATTCGGCTCTCGATGAGAGAAAGATTGATTTAAATTAAAATCCGTTTGCACAAATAGAAATCAGGTAATCCGAAATCCGATTACACAAACGAAACAAATTCGGACCATGAGAGACAAGTGCCGTTTAAAATAACACCCAAATCGCTGTGATTTTATACGACAATAAACGAATGAAAAAACTTTTTTTCAGTGAAAGTTTTTTCTCTATAGCAACGAAGTTTCCGCGTTTAGTAAAATATTAGATAACAATTTATTTATTATTAATAATTTCAATGAAAAAATTAATAATTTTGCAGGGTACATAAATTAAAATTTCCAAATACAATTGAATCAGTGGTTTCGTGTTAGAAATCAAAACGAAAAGCTTTTTCACGTTCGATCCGTTTTGAAAACGAATCAATCACATAAATCATCATCCCTCTTTTCACCACGTTCGTGCTGACGTTAGGCAAAACGGTTGATGGAAACGGAATCGGCCGACGATTTTCCCAACACGCATCGTGTCACGTTCTCGATTGTCAAGGCTTGTTTCTACCCGCGTGTACAATACGAACGTTGTGGCTACACCTTCGAACGGGTCGTTATCGGTTGGTTATCGCGATGGATTTGTACGATGTGACCGAGTATCTGATAAAAGCGTCGGAGACAAAGGTAGAGAGAGGGTTTTGCGAGAAAAGAGGTGTATCGCGTGTCCTTCGTGACCCTATCGTAAGGGAAAGCCATTCGACGAGATGTGATAGGGTTAGGGTCACAAGTGTGACGTTAATCCAATGTGAAACACTCTCGTCTGTAGTGGCTCTCGAATTTTTTGCGGGATTACGTGTAACTCCAGACGATCACCTTTACCGTTCAAGTGTTTTGCCGAGATTCACCTTTCGATTTGCACGCTAACCACGAAATTTCTTTCACCAGATTAACGCGAAAGAAACATTCTTTAATGGATAAGAGGAAAAAATATAGGTGGTTCTTAAGTTGTTTTGCTCAAAGAAAAAGTTCTGCTTTATCTGTACAAAAACAGATAAAAATATGAGGCATTTACAAATTAGAAATTTAATTACTTTCAGTGTTGTCCTCTTATGAATGATTTTATTTCCCGTCGAATGATGTCAATTTATAGTGCTTTAAATATTTCATTACTGCTATTTCACTGATCTATGATGATTGAACATCCACGGTTTATGGATTCGAGAGGAATGTCTTTTGGAATTCCACATGTGATATAAAATAAAACTTTCCTTTTACGATCGGAAGTTACTCGATGAAAAATATCGTATCTATATTACCGTATTAATAACATTTATGTTCTTTAAATGATATTTTTTCAGAATATAAAATCCTTGCAAAAATTCCATTTCATTTTATGTATTTTAATATCACTTTTTTAAAGTAGATTTAACAGACAATTTTACGTATTATTCCAAAGACCGTGTCAACGAGTTCGCGTATTCGATGCGAAGAAAGTCAGAGGGTTAAATGTGACGAGGGTTGGATATGGGTATAACACGTTAATCCTTCAGGATACGTTTCACGGTATCCTACCTAATCCTTCTATCGAAAGGAATTAGCCTTTTAGAATATGTATTTGTTTCAAGATGAAATACGATGTCTAATTTTTTTTTTCAAATTTCAGCACAATAATGCTGTAAAAAAATTTCAAATGTGAAATAAGAATAATTTCTATTTTTAATCGAGCTCCTCTATATTGGAAGAAATCTTATAGCTTATCCTGTATACATTATTATGCAAAATTACGAATAGAGTTTCATTCGTTTCTATTTCGATACGTTCCGATGCACAGAGTACAGATAACGGTTCGTTTAATTATTACCGGTAAATTCTATCCGGGTATAGAGTTTCGAATATTAAATTTATAATTGACGTAATAGAATCATTGATAAATTCCTCTGGCCATAAATGATTATCCTGATTAACGTTAATCAATTTCGAATATTATTCTAACAATTTGCCGGCTTATTTCGATGAAATTGTTTCATCGGCTCGAGCACATGAACATTCGTTCGTGGCTTGAAATCTATCGTCGATGTATCAAACGATACTATCGTATTTCCACGGTATTTTTGTCGACACGTTGCGATAAAATCGTGCCGAGAGACGCGTGAATTTCATCGGATCGCTAATCGATTGTAACCTGGAACGTTTAAAAAAAATATACAAGCAGGATTCGGATAATGGAGTATCAAAAAATACGCGGACACAGGGGTGTAAGCAACCGGCAACGCGTAACTGGCACGCGAACGAAAATATGGCTCTTTTCGTTAACGTTTGACCTCGCGTGGAATTCCACGCTAATTCAGCTCGCAACACGTGGAACGTATTTTACCTGATTACAAGGATCAAGATACGAACCACGTAGGTGATTCGTTAGAAAAGTGCTTTGCTCTCTATTCTCCACATTTTGTTACATTCATTTTTGTCGAACTTGAGGGTAGCAGCCAGGGAATATTTAATTGCATAATTTCAAAATAATAGACAAATTTTCTTTTAATTTTTTTTTTCTGTTTCAAAAATTCAACCATAGAAAATCCTTTCCATAGAAAAACTTTTTTATTAATCAAAGCATCAGTACATTTCAGAGGGTGATCAATATTAATTTAAAAATACTCTTACTTCGTCTTCGCTATATCGTGAATATGGAATCACGGTCTCTGACATCCCCCTGATCAGGTGACAGTGATGGAGCCTTGTCGTTGTTCCTGAAATTCCATTCAAGACTGATTGAATATTATTTATCGTTCAGACGTCCGACTGGTTCGATAATTAAGCCCACGTCCCTGTCCGATAGCCCGTCTTCCTGCCACGGGCAATCGATAATCGTGCATTCGTTTTTTGCCCGCGAGACATGTTCGAACGTGACCGTATGCCCGCCGCGTAGCAACAAATAATCAATCGCTTATGGCCCTGGTCGCTTGAAATTCCGACACGCGCGTACACCCGTCGCAAAATATCGCCAGTCGTAATGGGCGATCTCGGTGTAACGCTGGAAAATTTCATTTCCACCCGTCGCCGGAAAAGAGGGAGCGCCGACTGCTCGACACGTTTAAATATATGGCTATAATATACAATCGACCGCAAGCGGAGCAACCCGCTGGATGAAACGGCCACCAAATTTAGCTAATCTCAACGCTCTGTTCAAGCTCAGGCACGTGGAAGCGTGTACGACATTGCAGCCGCATTGCTGCTGCTTGGAATTCGTTTCCAATTGTCGGCGAGGGGGTGAATGCGAGCCGGTTGCGACGCTTTCGTCTGCTCCCATCGGTTTTATACGTTTCATCTCGTCAGTTTCGTTCGATCGGGTCAATTTTAACGTTAATGCTGACACTAGAAAGTTTTTATTAATTTAAGGCGAAAATTAATATGGTATTTAAAAATTTCAGTTTGCAAAAATTCGCGATTTTTCGCGTAATACTTCTTGTTGCGTCGATTTCATTTGATCTCATCGGTTCCATACGTTCCGTCTCGTCAGGTTCGTTTAATCAAATCAATTCTAACGCTAACACTGTCATTAACGAGTTTCGGTTATCTTAGGACAGAGATTAGCTTAATATTTTAAAAATTTCAGTTGGCTAAATTTCGCAAATTTTCACGTAATATTTTTGATTACGTCGATTGCATTCAATCTCCTTGGTTCTGTTCTATTGCAAAAATTTTTATCCCTACGCTTAAATTAATGAATCCTATGTGTTTTAGATTACAAATCTGCTTGTTGATACATTGCTATGGAGTTTGATAAAATTAAAATTTCAGCGGAAATGTTCTTGCTTCTGGATTAATTAATCCATCCTGGTTAAAGTAGTGCATCTGGTTAGATCGGTTTCGCCCACTCGTGTCGGTTCTTGCTCTACAACTGGAACACGGAGTTTCACTTTTTTCACGGCAGAAATTCGTTCGCTACTATAGAATTTAAGCGGATTAACAGATTCGCGGTCACAAGTAGAACGTTTCATCGCGTTGGTTTCGTTTGGTCGCGTCGGTTCTAGCACCAACTACCCGGATGACGAGTTTTACTTTTCTTAGGACAAGAATACGCTTGCTACAATGAAATTTAAGCGAATTAACAGATTCGCGGTTGCTGACGTAAATTGGTGGTGTTGGTTTTGCTCCATCTTGTTGGTTCTTGCCAGGTCACGTTGGTTTTCGTGCAACCCCTAGGATGACGAATTTTATCTTTCTTAGGACAAAAGTGTACCCGTTATTGCGAAGTTACAGCAAATTAACAGATTTTGTAGCTTAATATTATCTT